TTATTCCAGTCGCCAGTGAACATACAGGTAGATATAATATTCGCATCGCCGTACGTTCGCAACATCCGGAGTTGGAGATTTCTTGCCGAGTAGCTATTTGCTGAAAAGGAGGACGGGAAGGCCAGGGATTGCGCAAAACCGTTCGTCGGCAGGATCTCGCGGCCGCCGCCGTCGCCGCCGCCGCCGCCGCCGCCGCCGCGCCGTTCCTCTCTCGTTCTGTCGCCTCGAAGGAGCCTCGAGACCCACGTTCGCCAAAAACGAATCCCGTATATAACGTGGAAACCTGAGCGATTCCGCCGTTCGAAACCGCCGTATATAAAATGCGGCGCCCTTCCACGCGAGCTTCTAGCGTTTTGCCGCATGAATTTAAAGCGCGTCCCGACGCTCGAGTCGTTCCTATATTGGAACACCAAGGTAATATTCAAGCGTGGTAAATATTGCACGGCGGAAAGTGTACGATGTTGAATTAATGTCAACCGCACGCTGGATCTCGGTTTTCCTTTTTTTCCCCCCTTTTAATTATTGAATGCGTTTCGCAAGTGCGGCGTTTTTGCCATGCAAAAATAAAAGGCGAAAGCGCCGCACGGCGCGCGTATCAGAAAGGACGCGCGGCCCGGCAGCGCACGACAGATTACTCCTCTCTCTTCCTCTCGTTTTACCTTTTTCTCTTGGCTTTCGATTCCTGTCCGAGCGTGCCGAGGTTTAAATGCGTTTTAAAGTTTCACAGCGAAGGCGTGTAAACGGCCCATAATGTCTCGAACGACTCTGGACATCGCCTTTTATCTCCCGTCCCCTCGTCGCTCCGCTCGCTCGGCCCATTCATTATTCCGTGAATAAATAATCGCGCGAACGCGCGCACGCGCGAGCGCGAAAGGTTGATGAAAATTTCAATCGATGGCTTTTCGCCCGCGTCCACTGCTCCAAAATTATTCATCGATCTCCCCTCGCCGCGTTTCCTCACCCCTCCGCCGATCTTTTCCGCGTCGCAATACCCTCGACAGTGACGACAATGATGGTTCCGGGAGAAGAAATCTCCTCTCGATCGTTTAAATGTTACAAAAAGAGATGCGCGATTCTCAATGGATGGGAAAGCGCCGGATTAAAACGATTCAGCTCTCTGCATACTTGAAAAGGTCTCAAATCTCGAAGTTTCCTCTCACATTTTTTCCACTCGCTCCTTTTCTCTCTTCTCAACATCTTGACACATATATTCCCATTTCTCCGGATTCTATGAAATAATTTTTCGACAATGCACAAGGCTCGAAAAACGCGGCAGATATTGCTGTTGATACTAAAGAATAATCCTCTCCTCTTGCGTTTTTAATTGCCTCTCGTGCATCGAGCAACGACCAAACGAATTTACCAAGCTCTCTCGTTCGAGAGAGCGTGCGAGAGAAAGCCCGGTGAAAACGAGAGAAGGATGGAAAGAGACAAGAGAGAAGGAGGAAGGCAGAGAGAGAGAGAGAGAGAGAGAGAGAGTCAACTCTGCGAACTTCCATCGTGTCACGTAGCACCTAATCTAGGTCAACGGAATTGAATTTAGAACCCAGCCAGGCTACCGTAGTTATATACCGCTCGGTGGGTTTCCAGCGCCGCCGTCTCTTCGCCTAGGCAAAGCGTTTCCGGGTTCACGGCGAAAAAGACGTGATCTCTCTCTTGGATTTTGCCAGGTCGCGACTAGCTGGACCAGAACGAAAGAGAGGAAGAGAGAGATTGAGAGAGTTTCGGGCTTTAAATTAACTGTAAAAGTCTTTGTGCAGAAAAGGTGCGACACGTGCTTGACCCACATAGCATAGATATGACGGTGAATATTCGTCAATATCCTGTTGGATCCAAGGATAGTCTGAACATTAATACTACTGCTATTTATATTGCTATCTGCTACGTGCGTCGAATTTTTCACGACTGCTGTTATAAAAAACGGTGTTTTATATATCCCAGAAGATAAGATAAGCGTGAATCAAATTTCGTTTCTATTTATCTAGATTATCGCGCTCTAAAACACGTTGTCTAGTTGCTATCATAAATTGTGTTTCTATAACTGAAGATTAAGTTAAAAATCTAGAACGCTATCTGTAATTCGATTAGCGATAATATAAAGAATTTATCCAATGATAATTTGATTAAAATTAACGAGATTTGTAAGTTATAAATAAATAAAATTCGTATCGAGAGATAAAATAAAATATTCATAAAAATATCATGACATGTTTCAGTCATTACAAGAAAATTAAAAATATTTTTCTAAAAAAAAAGGAATTTATCTTTCACGCTTAGTTCTAAAAATCCGTGGTCTTTTTTTTCTTCTCTCGCCTTCTCGCATAATTAATTAAGAAATAAATTGCGAAAACTGTATGTGCGCATAATACGGCGAATGCCGTGTGCAGCAGAGAGACGGAGAGTAGAACAAGACTAATCCCGCTAATGTCTCGTCGATGTAGTGGTACGTAACGGGACCTAATCGCCGATACGCCCTTTCATCCTCACGGCCGGCGAGCGAGCGAGCGAGCGAGCGAAGCGGAGTGCGGAATTCGACTCTCTCGGCGTAGCTAGAATCTTGTTTCGCTTCCGTTCGTTTCCTTATCGGAGCACGCAACTCAATCGTGCGATCTCTCTCTCTCTCTCTCTCTCTCTCGCTCTTGCAGTATACACGCTCCCGCACACATACACGCGCGGAGGAGGACGCCGCGTATGACGTGCGCGCGCTCGGCGTGCGCTTCCTCGTTCCTCGCGCGCGGTGATAGCGTGCATACATAGGTACGCGGAGAGGGTCTCCGGAGCCGGGAGAGGATTCTCCTTCGCCGCGCATTTACAGAGCGGAGAATTCCGGGAGCGGAACGGCACACCGCCGCGCCGCGCACCGCTCTTCACGCCGGCGGTCCCCGGGCAGGAAATAATAGCTGAGTGATAGAGTCGAGCGCAGGGAATTTTTATAGCTAAATCGATGTTGCACGCGCGGGTCGCGGCGCTCGCGGGCGACCGAGCGGGACGGCGTCGCGGGAGAAGGAGCGAGTGCGGCAGGAGACGACGGAGGGAGAGAGATGGAGTGAGAAAAAAGAGGACTTCTCCTCCGCTCGGACGGAGAGTGGGAAGAGGAGAGAGGGGGAGAGAACGAGTGAGCGGGACGGCGCGGCGTGAACAGCGAGGAGCGAAGGGCGCTAGAAATCTGGGGCGGGGATAGATCCGGGCTTTGCGCTCTGCACGCGACCTTGAATGCCAGCCAGCCTAGACCTTGCCTCCGCTCCTTCGCTCGCTCGCCCAAGTCCAGAGAGGCCGCGCGAGACTGTTGTTTCAGGCAACGCACACATCGGCGACGGCGAGACGGGACTCGTTCGCTCGCTCGCTTGCTCGTTTGCCATTGCGCCGTCTCGCTCTTCCGCGTACACGCGATTACGTAAGATCACGGCGCCTAAAGGACACGACGCAGTCGGATCTGCGTTTTCCGCTATTCGCGAACTCGCGCGAGCGGCGCAAGCGGAGGCCGTGCGAAGCGAACCTTTATTACGTAACGAGACGAATGAATATATATCTTCTTTCCAAGTATATGTATATATCGCGGCGCCTCTTCGTGCGGTCTCCGTTTCGCAGAACGCGCCTAAACGCGAATGACGATTCGAGGGCATTCATTTTCTGACTTTTTGGCCGGCGATAATTTGTACATGTTCCCTCCCTCCCCTCCTCTCCCAAGACATATCTTACCCGGAGGAAATTGATTCGCCTAACGGTAGCGAATTTCGCATCGGTCGAAAGTTCAATTTAAAAGTTTCTTCGGAAACGCGAAACGGGAAGCGCCTCGGGAGCGACGAAGGCGACTGAACTTGGCGCGGAACGGGAACCGGATCGATCAAACTGTGCGCGGCGAGGAAGCGGCCTGCGGCAGACGGCAGGCGGCAGCCGGGAATCGAGCATTCGACGCGTTTCCCGGGCCACCGCCGCCGCCGATATTATTAATGACGCGAGAATTGGCGCGTCACGCGCGGCGCGGTTTTCAGAGTGCGAATCTTCCTCTCGCGCGGCCGGCGATAATAATTCCGATCGGACACGCGCAGCGTTGCGTGGCGCGGACCGACGAGGCTATAAGGAAGGACGGAGCGGATTGATATCGCGGAAGAAGGAGAAGGATCTCGGCGCGCGTTCGCGCGCGCGGCTTCGCGCGAGTCTGCTGCTCGCTGGAGCGATCGCGCGGCGAGTTGGGTGGGATCATAACGGACCGGCGCGGCGGGCCGGCGACCGGGCGAGCCGCGCCTAGACCTAGGCGGATACCGCAGCCGTCGCTCCGCATAGCCCCGTCACTCGCATTATTATCCTACCTTAGCTACGTTACCCGACCTTTTTGCATTTTTGGCAAAGCCGCCGCCGCTGCCGCCGCCGCCGCCGTCACTGCCGCCAGTGCCGCCGTCGCCGATCGCATCGGCAGCGTCATCTGTCATCGCCAATTCGAGGCCCCTCGGCGGCCGCTGCGATCGTTTCCGGTGCGCGTCGCGTTCGCTCGATATCGATTCGATTCGCGCGAGCCGCGTAGATCGCTCACCAGGCAGCAGCAGTCGTCTGACTTCGCCTTAGAACATATGTTGCAGTAGTATATGATCTAAGAACTTCGCGGACTTCGCTCGCCTACGGTAGTCGCTTTGGCGCGAACTTTGGCGCCGATTCGAATTTTGCGCCGGTTTCGCGCATATAAGACGGTGAGATATGCCGATCGAGAATTTGTTGCTCGCGATTATCGCAAATTGATGCGAATCCCGCTGCTGTAAATAATGTAATAAATTAAATTGAAAAATGTATTGAAAAAAAGAGCGATAGAAATCAATTTGAGGGTTTTGCAATTAATCCTCCGTATTTAGAAGTTTAGTGGAAATTCACGTATCAAACAGACATCTTACAATCTCGTCGATTGAAACGCGAAAATTATCGATAAGATGATTCGGAGTAAAAGGGTGCGTAAATATATTGGCGATGCGCTGCCCTTTCAAAATTTATAGTAGTGCCCTAGTTAGTTTAAACTTTGGCGGTGGGGGCTTCGTGTAGTCGCGTCGCTCGACCACGTGCAGCATGAAACGAGGATCGCGACATTCGATTATTCGTCGGGGCTGGTGATCGCTCGACGACCGTGGTGCCCAGGCAGGTGCCGGTGATATTTGATACAGTAAAAGATATTCGAGCCGTTCGAGGCAATCGTCAAAACAAAAGGGGTGGTAAAGGAGATAAGAGATTCCGGCGCGGTGACGCGAGTGCTCATGGGTAAGCGCAGGATTACGGCGTGGCGGCGGGTCGGTAGTTTCAAACGTGCGGCAGGATTCACGCGTGTCTCGTCTTGCCGTCGTTCGTTCACACTCGACTCGCCGATTCCGTCGGGAACAACAACAACAACAACGTCGTCGTCGTCGTCCACGACGAAATCGCGTACTCGTCGCTCGTCGTCCGCACGCGGCATCATGTACCCGTGCATCGCCGACGTGCCGCGCGCGAGGCGGTCGAACAGCAGGTTGTCGCCATCGACGTTCTACAAGGTTCCCGACACGAAGCTGAAGAACGTGATCTGCGTCAACTGCAAGAGCAAGTTCTACGTTACAGGTAATTTCGCGATTGTCGTCAGAGCCTCCGCCACGCCGCGATGTCGCCGTTATCGATTCGCGTCCGCCGGCGAATTTGCCGGCGACGTAAATCGCGAGCATGCCGAGATGACGTCCGAGACGTCCTGTGTCGCCGGGTGTGCACGTCGTCGCGCGATCCCGGCGGACGCGACGTGCTCGCGAGAGCCGACCGGACGTTCCTTCCTTTCGTTCGTACAGCGACGAACGAGGAACGCCGCGTTAGAGAGGTTAGAATCCCATGTGTCCGTCATCTCGTCGTATCCCAGCCGGATACGTACGTGTTTCGAACATCACTTTTCTACCTGCATTTGTCACATTTGTGACGATGTACAGAATTATCGTAAATATTTTCCTGACGGAATAATTGAGTGCTTATAAAATATCTAAAATTTATTTGGCGTCAACGCGTTTTGTATTTGTATTTCACTCGAATTTATACCCCTTTCATATAAAAAGTTATGCATACATTGCTCATTGTTCTAGATATTGAAACTTGTTAAATCTTGTAGGTAGTTATTTTAATAATAAATATCACAATTGTATTTTGCATGCCAATGTAATCTATTAAAAACTTACGTAAATATTTTATTTTGTCTCACTCTGTGTTACATACAGTAACAGAGAAATATGTAGTTTAATATTTATTTATACATTAAATTGTCAGTGCGATTATAAAACAAACAGCTTATCAGATCAAAATCGAAAGAAATCTTTGTCAAAATTGTTGCAGATCTATCGAATTTGAATCTCACTGGGTCGACAGCAAAAGGAACACTGATACCTTTGTTGTCAGATTGCGGGCATCCAATATGTAGTAAATGTATCAACAAGGAGAAAATCAGAAAATGTCCATCGTGTAACAAAATTGTTCTGGATAACAACAATCTGAAGTCCTTGCTACCATTGAACTTATATTCACTAGGGCTAATTATTTCCTCTTACCATCGACCATTGGAAAATGACGATGACGATTTTCTGTTTTGTCACAGCTTACCTTCACAATTACGTCAGATAGCAAAGCAAGGTTAGAGACATTATCCGATGAAATTAGTTGGCTTCTCTGAAGGAGACAATGGGTGTGTATTTATGTGTTTTTTTTTGTTTTTTTTGTTTTAGGGTGTTGCCATGAATGTGGAAATCATGCTAATGTAAACTGTCCCCAGTGTGTGGCTCTCTATTGTTACTACTGTTATTCAAAAGTAAATTGGCACATTATTACGATACGAAAACACTTACAATCAGATTACGTTCACAGTAACTTACTTTGATTTTATTTTATTTTTTTGTAGATTCATGGAAGGGCATTACAGAACCACACACAAATCCCGTTATACGAGGGTGGGCCCAACACTCCTGCTGCTATGTTGAATAGCTGTGCACCAACGTGCACTGATGCCTTAAGCTATTATTGTAATGACTGCAATGTAGCTTGTTGCTCAAATTGCATCTTGCGCTCGCACAAAATGCATATTTTTGAGACATTATTAGAAAAGGTTGGTAGCATTGCTCATATCGTAAGAAATTTATTGCATATTGCGAGAAATTTAAACGATTAACGTTTCATTGGCAGAATGAGACTCTGGCATTTGAGTTCAACGAGATTTGTATGCACATCGAGGAAACGCTGATGCAAATTCGCCAGACGAAAGAGGTGAGTCGTCATTTTTATTAACTATCTTTTTCCTGGTGAGAAACTTGGTTTAGTTGCTACAAAATGCATATGCCAGGAAGATAAATAAATAAATTTATTTTTTAATATTTTTAACAAGATATTAGATAGACGTAGTAAGATTAACATATGGTCATTTAGCGATATTCAATTCGTATATATCGCTCACTATTTTAACGTAATTTTTTTTTACTTGTGATGAGATTATAAATAGAGTATTCTAGTCATATCCTCTCGCAGATACATGATAGAAGTACATACTTTAAATATAAAACGCTCATATACAAATTGGGATATTATATTTCATGTATCGGTTGTGGTAGAATAACTATAGATAAATGGCGAAACCTAGTCAATTTTTCTATGAGTGTGATATTCGCAGTGAAAATATTATATTTTCAACGCGCAGCAATACTTCTATTTCTATAAGTGTTACTATTTACGTCATTTACTGGAAATGTACAACTTTGTGCAATTTAACATTGCACAATTATGGAAATTTATGTTAAATTTATTAATTGAATATTGAATATTCATATAATATCGAATCGTTAATAACTTTTACTCATTAATTTTTGATTTGTTATAATCAATATTCTAAAGAGAGTGTCATTTAGATTAGTGGTATTATTTACGCTGTTCTGAAAAACGTTGTCTGTTATCTACTTTGAAAGCTATGACTTATTATTACGACTGAAATTTATAATTCAATTGAATCACTTGTCTAGTGTAGTACCGAAAGAAGTAAAGTTCTGTAAGACAGGCGGGCATTTTTCGTGATAAATAGCACGCAATAGTACACGCATATGACTAGAGGGAATATAAGAAATATCATCAGCCATTTCATACCCGTACAGAGACCGTGAGATAATCTAACTTATTTTACGCACGATGTGATTTACTTTATGTTTCAATCACATGTAACTCTATCATATACTCTATATACATATTGCACTTTTCCGGGATTGCGAGGCTCATTATGACAGAGTGGCCTTACAACCCACGACATACTTTTGCTTTTTGATATAATGGCAACGAGTCAGGTATTATATGTTAAGACTAACAAGGAAAGTCACGGAAGTGTCCCCTTGCGATTTTGATGAACTTTTGTGTTGTTATTTAGACAAAAAAAAAGGACACACATTTGTTTTCTATGTGCTTATACGCACTTTTAAGGGGTCAAATACCCTTATAAAAAGTTAGATTATTTCAAGATGAATATCTTTGAAGTTGTAACAGTAGAAAAATAATGTTTTAAATAAAAGTTGTATGGTTTCAAATTATAAATATCTACTTTATTAGGTACTTATAATAGTATAAAAAATTGTTTATTTTTTTATGTACCTCCAATACTCAACATTTTTTCAAAATTTCAAAAATATTTTACATGATTGAATTTACCTTAAAATAACTTTAATCTAGTTATAAAAAGTTTTGAAATTTTGAAAAAATGAGTGGTGGAAGGTACATAAAAAAAATAATTTTTTTAATTACTATTATAAAGTACACTTGAAACCATACAACTTTGAAACATTTGAATTTTTTTTTATTTTTTATAATTCGAGGAGATCGAAGATTTTCTTAAGAGAAAATAACTTTTTGTAAGGAGTATTTCACCCCTTAAAAGTGCACATGAGCACAATATAAAAAAATGTATGTCTTTTTTTTTTTATCAAACAACAACATATTAAAAACTCATCAAACTCGAAGAACACTTCCGCGACTTTCCTTGTGAGTTATTTAGCACATAACGCTCTAATTACGTCTCTTCTTCTTCTTCTTCTTCTTCTTCTTCGTCGTCGTTCGCCGTTTGTGATTTGCCCTTGTGTTTACTCTTCTCCTCCTGCTGTTTTTTCAGTTTCTTTTCTTTCATCTTTGCCTCCATCTCTTTAAACTTGAGTTCCAAGTATCGATCTACTTCCGGACCGGTGAAGTCCTCGGGGAATTTAGGCATAATTGGCAGGATGTATTTATACAGTCGTTCATTTAGCACGTATAGTTGAGTAGTCGTTTCGCATTTTACGTTGAACCACCAATCGCAGGTCAGTGCTACCTGGCTGAATATCGTGCCGTTCGGACATAAGAACGATGACTTGCCGCCATTGAGATCGCAGTAATGCCACACCTGTTAACAATATTATCATTAGAAAATTCTGGAAACTAATCTTTTCAATAATATAAAATACGGATCAATAATATAAATTACGGATATTTAATATTTAAAAATTAAAAGAGATTTCAGAGAAAAAGTAGGAAGATTAAGATTTATAAATGTAAAAAATTTTACAGAATAATTTACAGACTTGTTTAATAATATGTTTAATAATTATGTTTTTATGACATTGTATTATATACTCACTTGGCATCCGGTCGCCGGGTCGCCGAAGAACCCTTTGTACCTCTGTTCCTTGCAGCTGAATTTAGTCTCCGGTATAATCGCGTACGCCGGGTAATCGACGTTCGGTTTTCCGCGCGTCGCGCCGTACTTCAACGCTGGCAGTGGCGTTTTCGATGCCGGGCGTGTGACTTCGTTCGACGCTACGTACTCCTGACTCGTGGACGCCTCGGTGGAAATCGGCAGGGTATACCGTTCGTCCTGCAGGATATCGTCGCTCAGGTCTTCCGTGATCTCGTACGAGTGCTCGGTGGTAGGAATGGGCGTAGAGCTCGGCCTGGGTCTTTGCTGCTTGGGTTGTTCGTTGGAGATGTCCTGAACGTAAGGGACGTAGTATTCCACCTTATCGTCCTTCACGTGATTCAGGTTGTAATCCGATTGCAACGACGGCTTGATTTCAACGTCTTCGTCCGCCATCTTGTATCGCTCGGGATCGTCGGTGATTATCAGAGGATTCGGTGTCGCTTGGAATCTCGTCTCGGTGATCACTTTCGGCCGCGTGTAGATTTTCGGTTTGTAAGCGTTGTAGCTGATCAGTCTGGGAGGCGGTGACGGTGGCGATGACGGTAACGGCGAGGGTCCCTGCGACTGCGGAAAATTCTCCTGCCGCGTAACGTGCAGAATGTTAAGGATCTCTATGAGCGTTTTGATGCTGCTGTCGAGGTTGTCCTTGTTCAGCGTTTCCGGCAGTCGCTCGGACAGCTGGAAACTCTCGATCAGATTGTTCAGATTCACGCTCGGCTTTCGATAGAGCGAGACGACCGTCGGTTTCACCGACTGCTGCTGCTGCTGCTGCTGCTGCTCCAACGGAATGTATCTCAGCCCCTCGAATTCCTTGTTGGGATAATTAACGGCGGCGTTCGGCCTCGTCGTGTAATCCCGATCGTAATCGTCCTGCGGGTTGCCGAGCAGCGGTTTCTTGACCACGGCAGCGGAGGGTGGCAGGGGCCGCGCGGTGACGAAGTATCGATTCTCCTTGTTCAGGATGTGACCGGCAGGTGTGGTGATTTCGGGATACGTCTTTTGCACCTGGTACAGCTGATAGGACGGAGTGGAGTACTCGGCGTAGTTGATCTTGGTGTTGTACTTGACCGGCGCGAAATAGTCGTTGTCGCCTCCGATGTTTCTGGGATCGAATTGCACGGACGGGACGAACTTCTTGTCCTGGTCGGGTGAATTCACGCGGTACTTATTACCGCCCGGTCGCGGCACGGCAACGAGCCTAGTTAGAGGCTGCGACGATGGTGGTTTCCGGAGCAGAATGCCCGGCGACAGCTCGTCCGCGCCATAATTCTGCGCCAGCGCGGCCTGAGCGTTCAGGTAGTTGTTGGCGACGTAAAAAGTCATGTAGGGTATCAATCTTCGGTATCTTTCCTTGAACGTCGTCAGGTTCATGTTCGCCAGTGATTCGCCCCCGAAGTTGTCCTCCGAAATAGCACTGGTCGCGTTCGACCTCGCCGGCTCCGACGCTTCGAAGCCTCGCATCAAGAGAACTGCAATCGAGAAAAGTCACTTTTTTTTATCGATTTTCAAGCGATCGTCGATTTGACGGCGCGAGATAAGACATTCGATTGAATTTACGTGAACGCGGTGACGCGCTATTCGTGATACTAAATTTTTAGGGAAAATTGAAGAAAGTAACGAATTGTATGCGCGTGGTAATTAAATAAATTAGTTCTTCGGAGAGTTTTTAAAATTCGAATTGAATCCGCGGATTCGCACGGGTACAGTGCTGTCTCGTTACCGTTTTCGATGCATCGTCACGATTGCACGAACGACCGCGTGTGCGGAAGAATGCGAAGAGAGAATGAGAGATAACGCGGTACGTCTGCAACGTCCCGACAAAGACGAATCGTGGGGAAAGGGAATACGGTCGGTGGGTTGAAGATTGAGCGGACGATAGAGCGCCCGGGTCGGGGGGTGGATTGGTACCCGTTTTTAGCGGTTGCGCCACACTCGAACGTGCCAGCGCGAATAATATCCTCTCTTCCGCCGACGGGCAACACCGATGTACCAGCGCGCGCGAGCGCGCATGCATGCGCGATCTACACACGCACGCGGCCTTTATCTCTTGCTATCTCTCGCCGCACGTACAAAAGCGCTGGCCGGCTCTCTCGCCGAATATTTTCCTTCTAATTTAATTTCACGCGGGTGGTACGCGCGGTATACGCGTGCGTTACCTCGCACGTTTCCAGAAACGAGGGGAGGTGATGGAGGAGGAGAAGAGCGAGGGGTGTATCGCTATAACGATGGACGGCTTTTTGAGGAGTCGATTAGAGGTATACGTATTTTTCGCGGATCGTCACTGAGCTTTTTTTTGATTCTCTCTATTACGCACGTCTTCCTGCAAATACCCTGCAGCTTGTTTAACAATGACAAAATTTCTCTACAAAGTTATAAGATCCACAATGTCAATCTGTAGATTCGATTTCGTATTTTTACGATTTTTGTGTTTACGAATGAATTATTTATGAAATGTTAAGCTCTATATTGTACAAAATATTTTAAATAAGTATGCGTATATCATCAAGGCTAACAATGGAGCCCTATTTATCCACCATACAGCGCGGTGGATTCTCCTGCGGGAGCAATTGGTCTATGTCGCACCACCTATCTTATTCTACAACGTGGCTATGCGTACACATACACGCACATATATTGTTTCTAAAATGATCTTATCATACATCGTTTAAATTTCTACCGGTACGTCTGACAACAATATAATGACGCTGAACGATAATATTTCTTTATTACGCATCCACATCGTGAAATGTTATATATTTTTTCTGACGTGAACATATTATGATAAGATGATTCGAAATTAAATTATTAAAACCAGAATGTCTTCGATCTTTCCTCGACAAACGTCAACTTTTAATGAATTGAACGAATTATTTTTGCATGACTCTTCTCAACTGCCTTTCCTTTTTACCCCAATAGAAATTCTATCTCATAGAATATTCTACGAATATTCCCTCGCGCTCTTTTTAATTCACGAGCTCTCGTCATATTGTCCGACAGGTAGATATTGCCGTGTAGGATGCGAAGGGAATAGGGGGACGTGCGAAATTGGCGGAGGGAACGAGTGTGTGGTCCGAGTGGTGGTGCCGGATATAAACCTGCCTCACTAGACTCGCCATGAATTTTTATAAACCGATTATTTAGTGTCGATGTAACAAAGTGCAGCGCGCGCCCGCTGAAAGAGCGTCGCGCGGGCGCTCCGAGCCAGTGGCGCACATCAAAGGGACGTGCATCTTTCTCTCGCACATTTCACCCTCTCGCTCCCTCTGTCTACCTTCATCTCCGTCTATCTATCTCTCTCTCCCTCTCTCGTGGATTACACACAGTTATACACACCGGTTCCGACCTGGAAATCCAATTCGATTCTGCATGAAATGAGTCTGGAAACTCCGCTAGCGTCGCGGCGCGGAGCGCGGCTCGGCGCGCTTTATTAATCCTGTCAGTGCGTGAAACGTGATTGAAAAATTCGCAAAGCGCGTGCGCCCGATCTAAGAGGGGCTCGCCTTGAGAGTTTTTAAAACGCAATAAGATAAGGCACCGCCCGCCAAATGCGTGTTTTCTGTGTCCACAAAGTGACGCGGAGATGTTTGGATTTTTCGCGCAAATCCACCTCGAGATATATACCACACTGACATTCGAATCTCGAAGGAAACCTTGTGTTCCGCCGAACGAATCAACTGCGCCGAGGAAATATGGGAATCACGGGAATCGTACACGTTATCTTGCTCAGCTTAAAACGAAAATTATTATTGAGAAATAACAAAATTAAAGACCACGTAGCACGAGAATGATTTGTGATAACGCTCGAGTTCGTTATGGGGTGGACTTATGGACTCTCGGGACAAGGGAGTCGAACAACGCGAAAAACCTTTCACTTTTGCCGTCCACCACAACGAAAAACAATTTATTCTTCGTATTGGATCCCAGCCAGACGGAAGCGAGATGCGGCTGCTTCCTTCTTCCCAAGTCATCGCCGATAGTTTCCCGCTCCGGATTTTCCCTTCTCTATCTTCTCTCTCTCTCCTTCTTCTCCTCCGCCTTGCCCCCGCGACGTCTGTTCGACTGGCGAAATTCTAACTCGCGAACTCTGTATGGGTGTGTGTTGCGCAACACGCCCATTGTATCATGCGAAAGTACGACGCGTCGGTTCTCGTGCCGATCTGTCGGTAGGTAACCCGATACGGAATATTAATTGGCATGTATTGGTCTCACGGATTACGTTATTTCGAACGCGCGTGACTTGGTTGCTCGACGGATGCGACGAGGGGGAGAGAACACACCGCAGCGGAACACAGACGCGGCTGGAATACGTAGGTACGCTGCCGGGTTGATATCGGGTTAACCCCTTCGCCATTCGCACATCGGAACGGAGAGAGGCGAGTATTATGTAGAAAAATAATCGAATTTAATTACGCAAGAATTCACATTTGCCTCCTTTCCCGAACGAGCGATATTTAATTAACTTTCGACGAGTGTTGCCCATCTATGAACTTTGGAACGGAGCGGAAAACATATGGACGATGTGTATGCTTTCGGCGGCGATGCAGTTTTCGGGCGGTAATAAACATGCGTACCCTCCCTCGAACACGCTCGTCTCTATACTCGCGATACGCTCGCGACATTCGTAATGTGGAACGCTGCATTCAGCAAAAACTAACAGCTACGAATAATTGATACCGTCGGTGTTGCCCGTCGCGCGGTAGCGGGTGGGAATCGTCGGAGCTACCAATCGTGCGTGGCTGAAATTACTGTGACCCCCGTCACTTTATTTATTGCACGCGCGCGAGACGAAGGGCCCGTCCGCGAGCGAGGGTGGCAATATGCGCGAGAAAATAAAGCCATTTTTCATCCTTGGAAATTCTTAATGAGTGAAATATCGCGACTGCCACTCGACACGGCGTAGTGCCGGAGAAACATGGTGTTGCGCGAAAGTCGCGGAATCGAAATACACAGGTTTCGAGGAGTCCCCTGTCGATATTAGTGAATTTATCGTCCTGCAATTTATTAGAATAATAATTCGAGCGATTATGTAGAGAAGGAGATATATATACAAGTGAGAAATTTATTTTAGAGCAAAATTGGCAAAGTTTTATTGGCCTATATTCTCTCTATTCTTCTTTCTATCGCCCAACTGCACGTAATTTGTTACTGATAAAATTTCTAAGCAGATATATAATTATTCGAGTGTTAATCAAAATGATTCTTCAGATTTTTTTTATTTTGTGCGGCATATAAAATTATGAATTGAAATCCATTTTATTTGTCACTAACAAAATGTTTAATTTATGAACTATACATCCATATTATTCTATTTATTTTTTTAGTTTTGTGCAAATTCAATTATGGTGTAATTCGTACAGAACATTTCACATGCATTCGTAACTTTTATATATTCCTCAAAAAGATCAAAGGCTCGTGTATAAGATTCTATCGGCAATGCTGCATCACTATCGATGCCTCGATTATGCAAGATTACGAGTGGTGAACGCATTCTCTCGTTTCGGAACGAAGCGAAAGGAAGCGTTTTTCCCTCGTGATGCGTACGCGTCGCGCACATAACGAAGGTAATTACGTGTACGCGAAATACCGAAGCGAGATCGCGAGCCGATCGATTGGGTTTCTCTCAGCTTTTGACAAATTGAGTTATTAAAAAATTTATTATAGAATGCATTAAATTTGCGAATAAATTTATATTCTATTCTAGATGATCTATAATTTGCATTAAATTAAAAAAATAAAATAGAATTTAATTTTTAATTTTATATGCCGCACAATATAAAAAAATATCTGAAGAATTATTTTGATTAACACTCGAATAACTATATCTGCTTAGAAATTTTATCAGTAACAAATTACGTGTAGTTGGGCGATAGAAATTCTAAAAAATTTTCCCTAAAACACCGCGTTTTATGAAGGAATATGAAATTAAATTTGGATCATTAAACGAATCGAATGGCGAAGAACTTGGTTTATAACTGCACGACTTACAGTCGTAAAAACGTATGGCGGGATATAATGTGACAAAGTGTCGGCACTTGCTACTCAGGCGATGTTTTCTCACGTGAGATCACGTTTCTCGTGCGGTCGTGCCTTATGTCGCGTACAGTTTGATGAGTCTCTCTCTCTCTCTCTCTCTCTCTCTTTCTCTCCGGCCATCTCGGGAGCAAGCGAGTGACGTCGCGACGGAGAAAATCCTCCAGAATAAATACGGAGTTGTATTTGAAATTCACGCGAAACGTCGCCCGCCGGTTGCGTAATACGTACCGTCGTGTATTAAGCGCGCGGCGCGGCACGAGTTTTTGGTTTACGGTTGACCCGTCTCAGCGGGTACACAGAGGCTTATACCGGAAATCCAGAAAAGCGCGGGCGTGCTGCGCGCATTTTGCACGTCATTTAATTAAAGCCGGAAAACGAGCCGCGTAATGACACTCGGGCGTGCACGAGGGCTCGTCGCGTTTCGATGCCGCGGGCC